GTAGCTAGCGACATATCGTAATAAAGTCGCTGTCTAGAAAATTTTGGTATGTAGCTATCAACCAGCTATAGATATGTAGATATTTTGTAGCTAGCTACAAAGCTACGATATGTATCTAGCAACACATTGCAACAAAATCACAATGTTAAAAGTTCAATTATTCTCAAAATTATAATAGACTCAAAAATAAAAATCGAATTTTTAAAGATGTTAAAGACATTAGGAAAAAATAAAATAAGAAAAAAAAATCACTTAAAAATTGCTATAAAGCTGGCTAGTCGCTAGCTCATTTCCCACTGGGATCTTGATTTTACAAAAAGCTTTGGAATATGTTTTCTAGTGAAGCTAAAAAACGGCGAAATTTTTTAATCAGATTCGCAACTTTACAATTTACTCCAATGCTTGTAGCTGTTGTATTAAAAATAAATGGAAGATCCATGCTTTTAACTGCTATTTCCTAACTAGATTGATTACTGAGCATTTAATTTTATCAAATAGATCAGCAATATTAAGGACAGCAAGCAATTTAGAAGACAAATTTTAGGGACAGCAAGTAATTTAGGTTTATACAGTAAGTCACTTTTTTTTATTTTCAATAGCTTGCTTAAACATTTCTTTTATTGCAACGAATTTTTAAAAGTTTATCATTATTTTAAATTTCTATCGATGCTTAATCATTTTTATTAAGAGCAAAATTTGTTGATCATCTTTTTTAGTAATATCTGAAGAAAATTCATTTGTTTATCTTATATGAACATCATTAATGTTTTCTGAATATCTGAAGAAAATTCATTTATTTACCTTATACGAACATTATTAATGTTTTCTGAATATCTGAAGAAAATTCATTTGTTTATTCTTATATGAACATCATTAATGTTTTCTGAATATCTGAAGAAAATTCAGCTTCTTTGTTTATCTTATATGAACATCATTAATGTTTTCTGAATATCTGAAGAAAATTCAGCTTATTTGTTTATCCTATATGAACATCATTAATGTTTTAGTAGAATTCAGAGTTTTGTCACCTATTTTTTTCTTTTACCAATGTGCAAAATTAATTTTCATTGAATATAGTATTAACAGAATTTCATAAGATCACGTGATCTTATAATGATGATCTTTATAATCTATATCAGGAGTTTAAAAACAAATATTTATAGGACTATTAATAATTATTAATTTAAAACAAATCCAGAAGCGACAACACAAATTTGAAACATTTACGTTTTTACTCATGTCAAATATACATGCTTTGTAAAAGATTGCGATGGAGCTTGAAAATAAAAACTTTAAAATTTTGGCCACTTAAAACCTGAACGTAAGAGCAACGAGCTCATAAAAAGTATTTTTTATTAACCTCATAAATTTATTCAGATAGAATTCAAATTTTGTTCATTAAACTGGTGTTCGAAAGTTATGACCGTGTGAAATATGCAATCTCTGCAAACTGATCGGAACTCAATACATATAAGGTCATAATTTTTAAATGAGACTATTGTACTATATTTTTAAAAATCTGACTAAGGTTTTCCCATGAGCCCTTACGGTACCACGAATGAGCATTTAACTAGAAAGCTCACCCATTCTTCCTTATCTTAATATATTGCAAATATCTTACCGATATTGCAAATATAGCAGGAGCATAAAAACTTTTGATTATAAAGCTCACTTTCCTCTCGAATTTGAAAATTATCGATACAAATTTAGTTTGTAACCGTAAAAAAAATATTTTATTATTTTGCATTGTCCTGTTTCATAAACCGTTTTTAGTTTTGTTAAAGTTTCTCAGTGAGGTTTGATGATTCTTTCTTGACTGCTTAAGAATTTTAAGGAAACACGAAAATAAAAGCACGCCGAGTTTAAGGGGCAACTACCCTCACATTTTTTTAAAAATTTGATTTTTTTTTTTTTAATAATTTTAGACCAAAATTTTATGCAGATTTTGAATCTGCAAAAAAAATCAAACATTTTTTTATAAATTTTTGTTTAATTTATGTTTTTTTAAACTCAAGTAAAAAATATTTGCATAGCAACGCGTTGCTATGGGGGCGAATATTTTGTTTGTGAACTTATCCTGGAGTACTGTTTCAAATATATGCTTTGATTTATATCTTCTTTGCTAATTAATATTCTGTTCCTTATTATATGCCATTTACAATTGCTACTTTAATACGATTTTATCAAGTTATCAAAGGTAATTTATATAACAGCTGAAATTAAAAAATATGACAAAACCTACTGATTTGGGTGTTATTTTGAACAAAAATATAATGATAGAGTAAAGCAGAGAACAAATTACTACAAAAAAAGAAGAGGATTTATGGTGAAGAAAAATAAAAATGCATGTAATGTAAGTGAATGTGACTCTATTGAAAGAAATATTTTAGGCGCATCAGCTAAAAAAGTAAAAGTTGTTACAAATGTACCAAGTAAAAACATTTAAAGAATTACTGGTTACAGAATTATAGACACTGAAATTTTATCTAAAGTTCTTTCATTGTTAATGTGTCCTCAACGTGAAAAGTGTGCACTGTACTTAGGTGATCATCAGAAAAAAAAGAAAGGTCTAGCAACGTTGCTATATTTAAAGTGTACTACACTATCTTGTGACTATAAACATGAATTTTATACATCAGTTGCTTGTGATAAAGGGTTTGATATTAACAACAGGACAATATATGCAATGAGAGTCTTAGGCCATGGTCATACTGGCATTGAAAAGTTTACTCAGCTCATGAATATGCCAAAACTCATGACACCCAAAAACTATTCAAAAATTACAACTAAAATAAAAAACATCGTGAAAAGTGTTACAAACAAAACAATGTCAGATGCTGCAACTGAAATGAAAGAAAATGCAACTAGTGAGGACATTGTTGATGTTGGTGTATCGTGCGATGGATCATGGCAGAAAAGAGGATATCAGTCAGTGAATGTAGTTTTTACCGCAATTTTAATAGATAGTGGAAAAATAATCGATGTTGAACCTATGAATAAATCATGTAAAGCTTGCTGTATGAAAGAACAATTAAAAAAATCAAATCCTGATGCATATGCTAATTGGAAAAACAAACATATTTGCCTGTACAATTATCAAGGTACAGCTGGTGGTATGGAATCAGTTGGCGCAGTTAGAGTTTTTAAACCCTCCATCGAAAAACACAAGTTAAGATATACTCAATTTCTTGGTGATGGGGATAGTAAATCCCATCTTTCTATCAAAGATATATACCCAAATATGGAGGTAAAAAAGTTGGAGTGTGTAGGACATTACCAAAAACGAGTACGTAGGACATTACCAAAGATACTCGCTTACGCAAGTTAAAAAAAAAATGTTAAGGGTCTAGGTGGTCGTGGTCGACTAACCAATGCAGTTATTGATCGCTTGCAAAAATTTTTTGGTGTAGCTATCTGGAGCAATACAAATAATCTGAATAAAATGAAACAAGCAGTATTAGCTAGCCTTTTCCATGTAGCTTCTTCTAAGGAAAATAACTATCATATTTACTGCCCGACTGGAGGTGATAGTTGGTGTAAGTTTAACATTGATAAAGCTAAGTCTACTTCCATATACAAACCTGGACCAGGAATTCCTGCGGATATTATTCACAAAATCAAGCCAATATATGCTGATTTAAGTAAAGATTCTGAATTAGTAAAGTGTCTTCATGGCAAAACCCAGAATTGCAACGAGAGTTTTAATAATTTAATATGGGATAGATTACCAAAAAGTAATTATGTTGGTTTAGCCAGTTTAGAGTTTGGAGTGTACGATGCTGTTGCAAATTATAACATCGGTATGAAGTCTGTCATTTTAATTTATGAAAAACTAAATATGAAACCAGGGCATTTTACTTTAGCTGGTTGCAGACTCATAAACAAAAAACAAATAAAATTTGTTTTTTGTTTATGAGTATGATTTAAATAAAATCATTATTTAAATCGAGTGAAAGTTTTAAGATGAAACGAAAGATGTTACGACGTCAACGATTATCAAAGGATGATCATCAAAAGTCAATACAAAAGTCCAAGGAATTTTATGAATCTGGTAGTTTTTGAAATATTCTTTTAAAAAGTTATTTTTTTAAAGATATTTTTATTAAATGAACAATAATTTATGATTTTATTTTTTGTTTTGTGTTTTCTCAGAATTTAATTTTTAAACACGCCGGGAAAAAAATCTTGAAAAGTATACATGCTATCATGATGAAATTTTCAGGGATCGTTCATTTTACTAATGTTTATGATATGAGCGGAGTAGAATTTCTCATATGACTTAAGATTTTGAGTTTTTTAGTTTTTTTCTTTGTATTTTGACCTTTTTTTTAATAATCTAATTTGACTGTAGCTTTTTATCAAAAAAAAATTTTTATTCAAAAATCTGCTTCGCTCTTATCACAAATTTACATATTTACAACAGTTCTATAAAATTTCATTGACACTCCTTTACTCATAATTCTTATTTTTTTTACAGCGTAAACAGTTTTTGTGGGTTTTTTAGCTTTTTTTTTGAGTTGCCATAGCAACGAGCTACCAATTTATGTATTTTTTGGTATTTTTAATGTCAGTATAATATTTACTATATGACTAAAGAAAAAATTACTTTATATGTGTTGTTTTGAAATTTGAGGGTAGTTGCCCCTTAAAAATAGCCAATATGACACACACACGCAGGAGGATAATTCTTTTAAAATTTTAAATTCCACTTTACGAAAATCTTGTACACCATTGATAAAATAAAAATAGAACCAAAAAGCGAGCAGTTTTATAAATGACTCATTCTCTTCACAAATTATTTGATAGCTCACACAGCTTTCACTCTGTTTTGACGCTCCTAGTATTAACTGCAGTAGCCACTGCAAGCTCAAAACATATCGAGGTTTTAATTTTTTTTTAACTTTTTAATCTCTTTTTGGTTTGTTTTATGATACTTTTTCGAGTTACAAAGGTTTAGCGCATAGTCTAATGTATTTTCCAAATTAAAAAAAAAAAAAAAGTTTAAAATGAATTATCTAATACAACTTAAAATTAATTTCAAAACGTTCTGATCCATTTCTTTCTCAATGCCATTCAATGAAAACCGCCGGAACATAGGTCAATGACAACATAACATCCATTATCTCCCAAATATTTGTCAACAACATCACTCGTAACCTCTAAAAAATTAGAAAAAGTAATTTTAATATAAAAATTACTCAAAAAATAAATAAATAAAATAGGTTATTATTCACTTTTAACTACTTTATCATATGGATAGCTTAGTAAGACATTTGTTCATGTCTAATTATACAGGGTATGTATAATTATAAACATAGCAATTATATAGTTACGAACAAGTTATGAACAAAACAAAGAAAAAAAAAAAATAGAAATTTAACCAAAATACCTGAAGTTATATTTCAGGGTTCCCACTATTAAAACTAAGGCTAAAATTAAGGATTTTAAGGAGAATTAAGGAGATATTTTCTTAATATTCAAGGAGATTTGGTCGCGAACGACATTTTTTTGAAAAAAAAAGTAAGGATAACTAAGGAGAAAACAATTACATTAAAAACATCTTATTTTTTTCAATAAATTTTAAATATAAACAGAGAAATTATAATTACCTTATAATTTCTCTGTTTATATTTAAAATTTATTGAAAAAATCTATATATGATCTTCTTTCACTTTAAAAAAGTTTTCTAGATGAATAATAAAAAAATAATAATAAAAATTAAGGAGAGCATTCAAATTTTAACTTTTTTTAAGGTTATTTAAGGACATTTAAGGAGGTTTTTATTTTTTAAGGTGCGGGAACCCTGTATTTACGCAATTAAATAAAAAATATGTAAAAAATAAAAGAATAAATTTGCACAAATAAACTCAAGTAAAAATATTAAAATTGTGTTCATTAAATTAAATAATTTATTGAGGCTCTATAGTCTGTAATCTATAATCGTCTTGGAAAATAATTCAATTTTTCAAAGGCCTTGATTTTTCAAAATTTTCAATTTTTCAAAGCAGCCTTGATGTTGAAAAAGGATAATACACGCTCAACATAATTCCAGATAAAATAAGATGACTGCAAAAAATTAAATTTTATTTTTAAAAATATTTTTATCCTTTTAGACAAAACGAAAAACGTCAAATTTAACTATTTTAAAATGTTAACCAATTTTGCAAACAATTTTAAATAAAGATTTAAAACATTTTAAAATTCTTTAAAAAAAAAAACATAAAAATAACTAACTTCACTAAATGTGCTATTTCCCAGTTTGTTTCAAAACTCATGTTTGATTCCATAGTGACACCTTCCTCTGTTATGATTGATATTTCAAACTAAATAAAAATTAAATTTTTTATAAAATAAAATATAAAACATTTTACAAAATAATGTTCAAAAAATATTCTTTTAATTAAAAATATACAGGTAGCATTGGTTAGACAACCTGTCTGCTCTGGTGTTATACCCGACATTGGCATAGTTGACATAGGAAGGTGTGAACTTCCTAGTTAAATGCAAGTGCTCTATAATAAGACCATTAGATCCTCTTGGAGCACTTTAATTTACAATTTTCTAAGTAAGTAACTCTTTAGTAAGTTTACTTTATTTGCAGTTTACCATTTTTGTTTTGCTTAAAGTTTTTTTTATTTTTTAAAATACATAACTAATAGGGTTTAGCTCTTTTTAAAGAGGGCAAACAATAACATTTTGATTTATAATAGGAGACAATAAGTATTTTTTAAATCTCCCTTAGATTAAAAAAACTTTTTTATTTAAGGAATTAATTTTTAGAATAATTTTTACCATTTATTTTTTATCTTTAAGCAAGATTTTCATATATTTTATAGATTATACAGACTTATAGCTTTTTATTGAGAAATTATTTGATTGATTTACAGTTAATGCACTGCTGTAAAGTTTTAACTTATTTTACATTCTTTTATTAAAGCAAAAAGTGAAATGAACTATACAATATAGTTACTATAGTTACTATAGTGTTGTCAAAAAGCAGGAAGAGATCAAGAAAAAAAAGTGAAATTCTATATACATTACACTAAACAAAAAGAAAACCATTTTTTCAAAACCATACAGCTCCGTCCTTTTCTATTTATAGGCGTCTATATTATATGTTTACTTTATTATATTCATACATTATCCAAGTCATATTGAGTGAAAAAGCTTAAAAAACAAATATATCACAAAAATATACACGTAAACTTGTATGGATGTTTTGGATATCCAGAAAAACAAAAAGTTGAAAAAAATATCCGGAAATTCCGGAAAAAAGTCCGGAAATATCTGCAAAGATGATCCGTGTATATTACAACATTTTCTATGCATAGTTTTAATTCTATATTTATATTTTGAATTGTTAAAGTAATTGCTTTTTTCTCTGGCTACAATTTTTTTTTACTATATTACAATAACAATCACAATATAATAAAGTGAATTCTCCATAAGTAGTTTAAATACAATGCATGTTTTATGCTTTAAAAAAAATACTGAACAAATTATATTGTCCAACAGAAATAAAGTTAAACACCAACAATGTTAGAAAAATTCAGTTATACAAAAACATTTTAAAAGTGATGCCAAGTGTCAGTCACACCAATACAATATTTAAAAAAGGATGTCAAGTGTCAGTCATGCCAATACACTATTCAAAAAGTGACGTCAAGTGTCAGACCAATACAATAAAATTTAAAAAGGGATGCCAAGTTTCAATTATACCAACAAAACAAAATTTAGTTTTAAATGATGAATATTTTTGTTTTAAAAATGATATTTAAAAATATTCAGAAATACCCTATTATGGGATCTTGCATCTCTATAAAATAAAACTTTTAGACAATCTATGAGAAGTTTTACAGCCTCAGCTTTGCTCATATTAGGATTACTTTCAAGTGCTTTTGTCATCAGTGGCTAAATGAAAAAAAATAACAATTAAAATATAGAAAAAGCAAAAAAATTATTTTTAAAATCTGAAAAAAACAACAACTTGCAATACTTAAAAAAAAGATATGAAACAGTCATGACAACACAAGAATGCATGTGTTCAACAAAATATTTACAATTTATAATTAAATTTACTCTAGCAATGTAAGCACCATAACCAGTTGCTATTGTATTATCTTCATAAGCAACACCCAATTTATCTACATATCCTAAGAAACTAAAAACAGGTCAAGTTTAAATTTTCTCTGAATAAAATAAATAAACAATAATATAATACAAAAAACTTACGATGAGCCATTGTGATACCCACCAACAACCAATGTGTTCCATAAAGGTTCAAACTTAGATCGTCTAAATATTATAAGATAAGAACTCACCAGAATAAATAATGATTACTTTAGTAATATTTACTTGTGCAAAGTTTTTTAATTAAATTAATGTTACATATAAAATATATTTTTAAACTGTAAAAAATATATAAATAAAAGTCCTTCATATAGCTACTATCTTCCCAAACCTAAACCACCAGATAGCTATATTAGTATGACATCAACAATTATATTTCATGAATGGCAAAGTAGGCAAAGATACTAGTATATATATATATATATATATATATATATATATATATATATATATATATATATATATATATATATATATATATATATATATATATATATATATATATATATATATATATATATATATATATATATATATATATATATATACTTAAAAAATCAAATACGTGAAATATCATTTAAAAAATACTGCCTAAATAATAAATTAAATTCTACACCAACATCTAAACAAAAACTTTTTTTTAAACGAATACCCTATTTTTTGATTAGTAAATCCATGTTTACTAGTTAAAAATCAAGACTTAATGAATAGAAATATTTATGTCAAAAACATGATAACATCTTGATCTAAACATGATAACATTATATTGATACCTTTAGTAGATTCATATAAAATTTCCCTTTCGTTTCTAAGCTTTATTAACTACTTTTAGTCCTTACATTGATGAAACAATCATAGTAAAACTTGTGTGTAATTTTTTATCAAATTATGTTTAGATAAAACAAACCTTGATAAAGAAATTACATTTGTGAAGAAAGTTAAATAACTCAATGAAAATATGCATTTAGAAAGAAAAAATGACATAAAATAGGTATAAAAAACAACAAGACTTTTTAATAAATTTTGTATATCAAAGAGTTATAAATATCAACAAAAAAAAAAAAAAAAAATTAAAATTTTTGCTTGATATGAAGTTCAGTCAGAACATTAAAAAAAAAAAACATTCACTTCAATTGACTACTTTTTGGGGCCAAGAGCTATTTTACAGCAGGAGGCCCAAAACCGCGGGGCTCCATGCTGTAGCTCCCTAGCCCCCCACCAAATTCAGCAATTAGTTTGATTGTTCTAGCAGCTAATTTAAAAACTGTTACACAACAGCTTTAGTTCTATGACTTATTGACACAGCATAAAAATTACTTTAGAACAATAAAACAGAAAATAAAAGGATAGCAACACACTAAAATTGTTCAAATAAAAAACTCGTATGAAAGATAAGAGCTTTTCATAACCCCAACTTAAAAACTCATAAAATACCTGCAATATTTAGTGCTCTTTGTTTAAAACATGGAAAAATTGAAATGATACAACATTCCATGTACATGCTTGGTATATTTTATTGATGATAATTAATGAACTACTAGGATCTAACATTTATGCGATACAAGTTAAAAATAACTTTCAATAGTGATCAATCAACTGTTTTTTATTAGTATATGTATATAGCATAAATGTATATATGCATAAACATATTATATGACTATTGTAACGTGAAATTTTAATAAACTGTTCTCTTTTTGTTTCAATCGTATTTTTGATAAAGCTATTGGTTTATCTTAAAAAGTTATTTTCTTATTTTTTTAACATAATAAGTTATTACATTATTTAAACAATTTTATACTGGTCTAATGCAGCTCTGATTCAATTTAAAAGAATTCTAAACATAAAAAAATTAAAAAATCAAAACAAATTTTATGGTTTAAATAACCATTTATTATGAAGTGAAATGTCTATTATATCAAAAATATTAAATTTTATGACAAACTATGCAAATTAAGCATCTTGATTACACCTTGAACTAAACTTGCTTGTTTAAAATGTTTTTAAAGACTTTTTTTTTTAATTTTCCAAAAACAAACTAAAAATTGTTTGTTAAAAAACTAGTTTGGCATATAAAATATTTAAGATGATGAAATCAAGATGGAGTGAGTTCAAGGACATTCTCATATAAAGTTCAACAAAATTTCAATAACGGGTAATAAAAATAATGCTCACTTTTGATACATAAGTAGGCGTAGAAAGGAAAATATTGATTGAGGTGTGTAACCATGGCCATCATCTTCAATGTCATTTTGTATCCTAAAATTTAGTAAAACGTTTTATTTTATACACAAACAATTTCTTTCTTTAATACATAAAAATTTCTTAATAAAATAAAATAAAGATATACATCATTCGTTCAAGGTACTCTGATATTTGCTGATAGTCAGCATAATCACCAGAGGCAGCCACAACTGTTTTTGGGTTCACCTCAGTCATACGTGAAAGTCTAGTATACTTGGCCAGTGATCCATATGATCCTGTAAAAAATGAAATATATGAATTATGATTACTACTTTTGTGACAGTGATATCAATGTAGTTGTAACTTTAGATACTATTAAAAAATATTAAATAAAAAATAAAAATTTTCTACATAAAACCATTATCATTAATAATTAAACAAAATATTTAAACATGCAAATATTTTTAAAAAGTATTTTAAAATTTTAAAATATTTTTATTCATAATATTTTTTATTCTTGACATGATTTGTAATTTAGTTATTACACTTTCTAAAGATTTTATTTTAGAACTAATAATATATTTATAATATAATAATTTATATCTAATAATAAATATCAAAAATTAAAGACTTTACAGAGAAATATTAAAAGAAAATAATTTACATAATAAACCAATAAAAATAATTTCAAATATGACTCGATAAATAACCAATCAATATCTAATCAATACGACCAATTAATATTTTTTTTAAGTTGTTATTCACTTGATCTATAAATTCCTAAGCTATTTTTATATTTAAAACTATAAAAAGTAAACCAAGTGAAAAAACTAATGTCAAACTGCTTCGGATCATTTAAACCATACTTCTAATTTTTAAGTAAGCAATCCTCAATTATTATTGTTTTTGGCTCTTTTTTTTTAAGTTTTTATCAAATGTTCCTCCCATTATGCCTCATGTTTGGTATTGACATGACTAGTAATAGTTGAAACTCTGCCAGATTTTGTATGTATGTATATATGTATGTATGTATGTATGTATGTATGTATGTATGTATGTATGTATGTATATATGTATGTATGTATGTGTGTGTGTGTGTATGTATGTATGTATGTATATAAGTATGTATGTATGTATGTATGTATGCAGGGTGTTAACTAGGAATAAATTTGATACAGCGTTTTGAGGAAATTAGGAAATTTATCAAAAAATTTCCCAAATATACCCCCCACCCACCCTGGAGTCTAAGGGATCCTTTTCTTATATTCTTTTTTCTTCTACTCTACTTTAGCGCTGCATACATTGATTGGACAGCGCCAAAATAAAACAAAACACCGTCTGTAACATTTATTGAAGATGAATATGAAATTAACACAAAATTAAATGTGCTTCCACAATGACAAGGCAAATTAAGCTCTGATTTCCAAAGATATATTGAGAATTTTATATTTTTATATTATAAAATAACCAGTGTGTATTAATTAATCATTATTAGGAATAATATATTTGATTTACTTTTAATCTTAATATATCGTTGCCACTTTCATGCTAAGAGTATTCTTTTGAAGATATATATTTTTTTCACTGGTGTGCATTAAAGGGCTATTTTTAAAGTAATATAGCGATTTTTAAAAGTAATAAAACGATCTTCTACTTCTAATTATTATTTAAATTCTGTTTGATGTCCTTTATGTACGAACCCTTACACAATCATGTAACAAATTGTCATCAAAAGAAATGTTTTAAAAATAGAAAAATAAAAAAGGTTTTGAAATTAGTAAACACAAGCTTGTAAGTTTCATATTTCACAATAACTGCGAGCAAGCGATTGCACACTATTGTGGCAACGAAGAATATCAATAATTATTTTTTCATGTATAGTCATAAAATGTTATTATGACTATGGTTCATTGAAACATTAAAACTTACTTTTATGTTTTAAATTCAAACAAGCAGTGAATCTAGTTTTCTTTTTTTTTTTAATTTCTAGTACCGGTTTGTTGTAATAAAAAAAATCATTCTTGTTATTTAAGGTATTTAATTTACGTTTATTATTAAGGTATTAAATTTACGTTTTAATATACATATTTAATTTACATTTTTTTTTTTTTAGGTTATTTAGGAACTCCCAGAAGTCCTTACGATCTTATCACAGAACACCACAGGAGAGCATTTAACTAGAAGTTCACATCTCCTTTCTTACCAATGTCGCTTATTGGGCTAGTCTAACCACTCTATTGCGCCACGGCTGCTCAACCAGTAAATCAACCAGTAAAGTAAAGAAATCTATTTTCCTCATTAAACAAATTTCTAGAACCAGTTTGTTATAATAAAAAAAAAATTATTTAACTTTTCAAAAACCCCCAAAAGGGCAAAACTGTATATAGGGTGCAAAAAGTACATTCCAACACAAACGAAAAACTTTATTTAATTAAAGCCCATTCAACAAAATAACATAAAAAAACACTATTCTAATGTAATTTTACATAGGAAATACAAATATCATATCAAAAAAAACAATTTTATTAAATGTTGACTTGATAGTTGCAATATTGTAAAATTTAAGGTTCAAAAAGTATCAAACACACCACAAATAAAGAATTTAATTAGCCAATTTGTCATCCGTTGTGTGTGAGGGAATATTCTAAAATGCAAAATTACATTATAGAAATCTTTCTAACTGCAGTCATTCAATATCAAACATTGTGATTAGAAGGTGGCCTAAAATTTGTGCTCTTCAACAATGCCTAAAACTGCTTAAAATTGTTTGGAACAACTACAAAATCAATAATTTAGCTGCACAAAGATGGTTAGAGATATAGAAAAGTTTCATCTGTGTTAAATATCCCAATTTTGACAGTTGGTGTATGTATGTTTGTATGTATGTATACATACATACATACATATATATATATATATATACATATATATATATATATATATATATATATATATATATATATATATATATATATATATATATATATATATATATATATATATATATATATATATATATATATCAAGGACTACTATATGACAGGACATGCAAACTCGATTTTCTGACTTCGCTAGCGAAGACCTGCATAATTAAATTCTAATTAGCTGATATGTACATTCATGAGGAACTGTCAAATATCCTCATGAAACCTCTTTAATAAAATCTTTAGCTTCATTTGTTAGTATAGGTTCATCCTCAGTATAAACTAGTTCACTCTAACATTTTTTCTCCAGCCATCCTGCCACACAGACAGCAGAGCTTTCTTCAGTTTCTGAAAGACTCACATCATAAATGCAAGTTTCAATTGAAGTCGCATTTTTAAAACTGATTGGACCTTCACATGTGTGATCTTTTTTATTGGGTTGTTCTACTTTCACTAATTTTAGAAACGCTGCAGCAAATCGAGTTAAACGCTTTTTAAAAGCAGAAAAAACATCCCTAGCTGCCATAAAAGCATTTGCTTTTGTTGGTTGTCTGTAAACAAAAAATTCTCTTTCAATTCTGTCACTTTGTAACTCATGAAGTAAGATGTAATCAAAACCGACTGAAAACAAATGATTGCAGACAGCTATCAATCCTTTAGTGGTTTGCACAAGGACTTTTTTAGTATCATGGGTGACACATTGAATTTGTTTGGGTCCATGCCCTGATTTCATAGATTTAAATAGAAAAATATTTGGAGATTATTCAAATTTTTATCTTGCACATATCGGTTGTGGTCTCTCAGTCTAGTATTTTGCCCTTTTGCAGAAACATTAACAATATTCCACCAACCTAAAACCTGCTAAATAAATAAGGATGTTTCATGAGCTCCTTTTAGTTTTTAAGCAGCTACTACTTTCTCATTAAATATTTTTAAAAAAATGTTGCAAATTCTGTAGTTGAAGTCTAGAAGGATAACAGGAACTAATTTCAAAATATTATCTTTTGGGATATAGGAACTGATTTCAAAATATTATCTTTTTCATAATGATATAGGTTTTTGACATCAGAAAAAGAATCAATGGTTTTATTGTCAAGAGATAACTTTTGACACTTTTCAGAAATCCAGTTGTTACGCAAACATTTAAGATGAACTGTATCAAACAAAAGAAACCAAACACGCTGATCATCTAATGGATGAATGGCCTGACAGTCAGTAATTCTTTTGAAAATTCTGCAGTATTGCTGATTGATTTTATGATTAACTGTTACAGATCCTAAAATGATGGCACCATTTTTTTCAGCTAAAACAGCAGCTTCTTTCACAACACTGAATTGATACATTGATGTTAGTTTGTGAACAGGTGTAATAGAAACCATTAAACTAGGTCCACCATGTAAACATTTCATCATTACACATAGCAGAAGTTGCTTTAGACTCTGGATCATTTTTTGCCATCACATATAAAACTCAGCCTGAATAAGCAACTGTTAGTCTAATTTTTACCTCATTAACTATCAAAAAAGCATTTTTCTGATGATCATTCTTTACTTTTTTAAATGTTTTTTGTAATACAAAATTGATGACTGCAGTTTTCGTTTAATAAGAAGCACTAAAAAATCACGAAGTTGATCATAGCTGGTGTTAGAAAAAGACTCAATAGCAAAGCAATAATCAGCTTAAATATTTTAAATTGTCTTGTAATAAAATTCAGTTTCTTTTGCTTGATATCATCATTGATTTTAAATTCATGTTCTGAAAGAATAATTGTCACCTTTTCAATAATATCATTAACATGTAGATTATAATTATAAACTAAATTAACTGCTTGAAAAAATAAGTAGAAGACTAAGCCATTATTGGAATTTAATATATTGATTAATGGAACGCTGATACCATGTTTACAAGCAGAAAAAATTAGTGGTTGTGTTAGTGACACTTATTGTAAACAATTACTCTTATAAAGCTCTCTTTAAAATCCTTCGACATAAAAATACATATAAACTTATCTTTTTGCCGAAATATTACAATATTTTCATACTTTTTGGGTAATTCTTTGTCATGATAGAATTCAGAAAACGAATTTATTTTGTCTATTTTAAGAAAATAATTAAGTTGCTGATCCTCAGGCTTAGATTAGCAAAGCACTGACTTTGGTGTTAGTAGACAAAAAAAAAGGAACATTAAAAATACTTGGTGCACAACAAAATCTTTACGTGGAGGAAGTACGTTAATCCATTTCTGTTTCTCAACTTCATCTTTAGGTAATTTAAAAACATGACACTTATTAAGTTCATTATAATTTCCTTTACAATTCACAATTCCACGTTTGTTTGGCATAATGAAAGAGATTTTCAAAAAATATTACTGTAATGTTAAAAACGCTTCCACTTTGAGAGAAATAATGGCCTTCGCTAGCGAAATCAAAAAATCAAGTTTGCGCGTCCTGTCATATAGTAGTCCTTGATATATATATATATATATATATATATATATATATATATATATATATATATATATATATATATATATATATATATATATATACACCAAATAAACACGAGGCAAACTAATTTAGCATTCCTGGTAGTAACCTTGCTACCTAGAAGAAAAACAACAACAACAACAAAAAAATATCTTTAATGCTTTTAAAAACTTTTTATTAAAATGCCAATGTAGTTGAACCAAGCCTTGTTGAATAAGGTTTACATCAATGTATGGTAAAAACATTCTAACTAATGGTCATACTTTTTTGGAAAAAGCGCATGAATTTGCAATGGCATTCAATTATAAAGTTTTACAATATCAACTGGATGGCTAAGAGGTTGGAAGGAAAGGTAAATTATATTTTTCTTGACTTTTAGTCTGTATTTCAAGCCAAAATAATGACAGATAGACTATGATTTATAATATTTTGTTTTAATAAATGTCGGTAAACAAAACAATTAACAAATACCACAAAAATTTTTAGCTTTGTGTTATAAAGATACTAAACAATAGAAATAATATATATTATTATTATATATTTATTTATAGAAAACTATATTTATTAATTATCTTTAATTTTAAAAAAATACTTTTTACATTATTGCAGTTTAATGTTATACCTAGCATGTCTGCTGCAATAGCAACTCCTCCATCAAACCGGATGGCTAAAACTGATGTGCCGGTAACAATAGGTGACCTAAAAATATTAAAAAACAACTATTAGCATAAAATAAAGTGAGAAAAATATACTACTTTTATACATTAGAGCTGTTTAAAAGTATTGAGGTAACTTTTATTTACTAGTGTTTCGTATCTTCATAAAGTATTATATATAAGAAGTGAATGTTTTTTGATGGTATTAGTTTTTTCATATGAATATTCTTTTGGAATTGTGTGAAATTTTAGAAAAAGTGTAAATATTCTAATAGAATTAAGCAAGTTTAAAAATTTTCAAGAAATATTACTAATCAATTATATATTAAAAAAGATACATAACTTATTATTTTATATGAACTTGTTAGTCAGAAAACATAATTTAAGAACAAGATATTTAAAAATTAAGGTCAATTAGTAGTAGCTAACTTAAAAAAAAATATATATATATATATATATATATACATATATAAATGTATATGTATATATATATATATATATATATATATATATATATATATATATATATATATATATATATATATATATATATATATATATATATATATTTGAAATAATTTTTTTCATATCTTTACCGTGATCATGAGGAATTTTTCATTCCTCATAATCATAAGCTTTATTACATTCTTCTCAAATGTTCTAAAAATCCTATTTTTCCTTGTTTACTTTTTCTCCAGAGGCAAAGTACCTCATGATACTAGTACCTATTGTTACTGTGTATTTGTGTGTGTGTATGTGTGCAAATGTATATCTAAGTTGCCCACCCATGGTTACACACTTTTGTGGTTTGAGTGGATTACCATGATGCCATATATATATATATATATATATATATATATATATATATATATATATATATATATATATATATATATATATATATATATATATATATGTATATATATATATATATATATATATATATATATATATATATATATATATATATATATATATTTGAAATAATTTTTTTCATATCTTTACCATGATCAGGAATTTTTCATTCCTCAAATTTATGGTAATTCTTTGCGTTTAATATTCCATTCTCAGTAAATCAATTAAAATTTATACTTATTAGATATTATCAGTTATTAGATCATTTAAATTCTGATAATTATGATTTTATTGAAAGAATAATAAAAAGATGGAGAATTCCAAATGATTGGCTTTAATTTATAAACTACTAAAAATTTAAAGAGCTCCTTTTATAATGGTTTTATAAAGGTTAAAAAATGTTATTTGTTTAAAACTAGGAAAAAAGAATTTTGCTAAACAAGTTAGTTATCTTGTTGTAAAAAATTGTTTCTTCCATAATATTTAAATAAAATGGCATCATGGTAACCCACTCAAACCACAAAAGTGTGTAACCATGGGTGGGCAACTTAGATATACATTTACACACATACACACACACAAACACACACAAACAAACACACACAAACACTAAAACACACTAACACAAGGTAATAGTATCATTAGGTACTTTACCTCTGGAGAACAAAGAAAAATAGGATTTTTAGAACATTTGGAAGAATGTAATAAGGCTTTTGCCATCAGCATACATGACTTTTATAATTATATTATAAATGCTTTTTATCTAGACATAAATTTTTTATTCAAAAAATATATAAAAATTATTATAAAAAATTGCTAATACATTGTTTTTTTTCTAGCATCGTGTGAACTTGAAGATGTACACATAGGAGATGAAGCTGAATTAAAAACGCTTCTAAATATGTCGACTTTTCCTGGTGCAGGAAGAAAGTTGTCAGCATACGCCATTTTAAAACTTTTTCTAGCGCTGCTAATTTATTTTTATTCAAAAAAAATCTAAAATCCCGTTGATTTAAACAGGCAAATTATTAAATTTTGATTACATAGGAATCAAAAAGTTTTGGTACATGAAAAAAACTCTAAAAATAATAACTTTTTAAAATTATTGCACGTTTAAATAGGGTAAAATCAAGTTTCTTATTTTTGAAGCTTTTATCTAAAACAAATTCTTTTTACGTAAAAATTACCTCAATAAATACTCAATCTAGTTACCAACATTCAACAGGAAATAGATTTATTTTAAATTTACAATCATTCTTGGCCTCTGGGTTCTTCTGAGCGTTTTATTTTGTAATTATATTAGCATCAAAATGTGATACACATTAAAGAGAACATATGATTAAAAAAAGTACCAAACAAAATTCAAATCAAAAGCCCATTAAAAAAATCCACAGTCAAAGTCAGGGCCGCCAAAAGGGGGGAAGGGGCACTCCGGGACACTTTGTCCCGGGCGGCAGATATCCAAGGGATGCCAAAAATAAGTAGGTTATGAATGGTTATGTAGGTTATGTAATAGTAAATTATATAATAAGTAGGTTATGAATAGTTCTGAATATACTTTTTATGAATAAGTACATATAAGGTGTTACACATTTTTGAAAGCATCATGTTATGCAGATTTTAGAACAAATAAATATTTTGAATTATGTGGTTTTGTTTACTAATAACTAATTGAACTATAAAATGAGATAAAAATATAAAAATCCGATACTTTTGGTAGCTACCCACTTTTCCCCATGATTTATTTTTCTTCTTATTATGCTTTTTTTTCTTCAATGCGATTTTGAAGCGAACGGACGCGTTTTTTAGAACTTTTTATAAACTTCGTAAGTTTATTTATTTACATAATATTCTATATAAAATGTCAAAAAATTTTACCATAACCCAAATTAAAGAACTATTGGATATACATGAAAATACAATAATTAAACTTTTAAATGACAAAATCGAAAGATTAGAAAACAAATTTAACATCATTGTAGAAGAAAATAAATATTTAAAAAGTGAAGTTAATGAACTAAAAAAATCTGTGGAATTTATAAATGAAAAATACGAAAACATAAAAAACGAAGCAGCCAATTTAAAAAAAACAAACGACATAAATCAAGGCAATGAAAAGAAGAAATTAGAAGATGATGTTATTATTAATAAACTGGCTGAATTAGAAGATCGCAGTCGAAGAAACAATCTTCGAATCAACGATATCGAAGACTGTGATAATGAATCATGGGAAGAAAGCGAGAAAAAAGTCCAAGAATTTATTAAATCTAAGCTTGGCATTAAGTATAATGTAGATATAGAGAGAGCCCACCGAGTAGGAAGAAAAGAATCAGATAAACCCAGAAACAGGCCTATAATAATCAAATTCTTAAATTACAAAGACAAAAGCACGATATTGGAAAAGTACACCAATCTGAAACTTTGGAACCAAAAAATCTACATAAACGAAGATTTTAGCGAACGGGCGATAGTCAGGAAAAAGCTTTTCGCTGAAGCAAAAGAGTTACGTTCTAAAGGTAAATTTGCTAAAGTTATTTATAACAAACTTTATACACGTGATATTTAAATGAACTATTTATATATTCATATATTATATTATTTGTTAATCTTTAATATGGATTCAAATAATTCTAATGATTTTGAAAAAATATTTAATTTTTTTCAAACAAACGTTTTAAATTTTAACGAAAAGTCTGATCCTGATTTAAACTATTTTAACGAAATTAATACATCAGAATTTGAATGCAAATATTTTTATCCAAATGAAGTTAAATATTTGCTAAAAATTGATAACATTAATATTTGAACGTTGTCCATATTAATATAAGGAGTTTAAAAAAGAATTTTGAAAATTTTTTAAATGTCATTTGCGAAACTGATAATTCTTTTAATTTAATTTGCGTAACTGAAACGTGGTCTTCTAACGAGGATTTTGAGAATAATTCAAACCTCCAACTCCCAGGTTTTAATGCAATTACCTTAGAGCGAAATATAAATAAGCGTGGAGGAGGAGTACTTTTTTATGTTAGAAATAGTCTTTTGTATAATGTTAGACGCGATATGAGTGTTTCTGATGAAAATAAAGAGATTTTAACTATTGAAATTATAAACAAAAAATCAAAAAACCTGCTAATAAGCTGTTGTTATAGGCCTCCAACTGGAAGAACTGAAGACTTCAGCAATTTTTTACAAAAGAAAATTCTAGAAAAAACTAATCTTGAAAATAAAAACAATTACTTGATTGGCGATTTTAATTTAGATTGTTTTGATTATTACAAAAATCAAAATATTAGAAAATTTTACAACAATTTATTTGAAACAGGAACAATACCAATAATAAATCGACCAACAAGAATTACAAATTATTCACCCACTTTAATTGATAATATCTTAACTACTGACTTTTTTAATATATCGCTTAAAAAAGGAATAATTAAAACAGATGTATCTGATCATTTTCCTATATTTTTTTCAGTAAATCTAGACTTTAAAAAAGAAATGCAAAAAAGTGTCACCATAAAAAAAAGGTTGTTCAACAACATTAATTTAAACTCCTTCAAAGAACATTTGCTGCTAATAAATTGGGAACATTTAAACTTTAATAATAATATAAACACAATTTACAACACTTTTTTTAAAACATTTTATAAAGTCTATGATACAAATTTTCCTATGTGTGAAACAGTTGTAAAAACAAAAGACATATCATGTCCCTGGATTACAAAAGGTCTTAAAAAATCCTCGAAAATAAAACAAAAGCTATATATTAAATATTTAAAATTAAAATCAGTAAAACATAAAAATAACTATATCACCTATAAAAACTTATATGAAAAACTTCGCAAAAATGCAAAAAAAAAATACTACTCCTACTTGATCAATAAACATAAAAATAATTCGAAACAAATCTGGAAAATAATGAAAGAAATTACAGGAAAACTTAAAACAAATACTAATTCTCTGCCACATGAAATAAAAATTGACAACAAACTAATTAACGACTCAAACTATATTGCAGCTGAATTTAACAAATTTTTTACAACAATTGGAACTAAACTAGCAAACAGTATTCCGTATACCGACGATAAATCAGCTGAATTCCAAACATCAACTTCATCAAGTTTTCACTTTACTGAGCTAACTTATGATGAATTTGAAATTGCCTTTAGTTCATTAAAAAGAAATAAAACAACTGGGTATGATGATATTAATGTGAATATTATAATAGACTTTTGTGATGTTATAAAACACATTATTTTTAAAATCTTTAGAGCATCCATCAGTCAAGGAATGTTTCCAGACTGTCTAAAAATAGCCCTAATAATTATCGCCCTATTTCAGTTCTTTTAGTCTTTTCAAAAATACTAGAAAAAATAATGTTCAATCGAATTTACGACCATCTAATTAATAATAAAATCTTATACGAAAACCAATTTGGTTTAAAAAAAAAACAATTCAACAGAACACGTTATTCTCCAACTTACGCACGACATCTCAGAATCTTTTAAAAAATCTCATTTCACATTAGGAGTATTTATTGACTTATCTAAAGCTTTTGATACCGTCAACCATCAAATTCTAATAAAAAAAATTATTATCATATGGAATAAAAGATAACACCCTCAAATGGTTAAAAAGCTATCTTACAAATCGTAAGCAATATGTTTATAATAAAGAATCCTCGTCTCAAGTGTTAATGAATGTAACGTGTGGTGTTCCACAAGGCTCCATACTTGGACCTCTTCTCTTTATAATATATCTAAATGATCTTCATAAAACTTCAAGCCTAACAAAAATAATCTTTGCAGACGACACAAATTTATTTCTATCTCATGAAAATATTAATATTCTTTTCAACAACATGACAAATGAATTAAAAAAAGTTTCTGATTGGTTCAAAATAAATAGGTTATCTCTCAACACAGCTAAAACTAAATGGACACTTTTTTATCCACTCCATAAAAAACATAGAATACCTCATTTGTTACCCGAACTATATATTGACAATGTAATGATAAAAAGAGAAAAAGTAACAAAGTTTCTAGGAATCTATATTGATGCAAATTTAACTTGGAAACATCACATTAACATTATCTCTTCTAGAGTTTCCAAATGCATCGGTATTCTTTATAAAGCTAGAAACATACTAAATAAACGGCAGCTGACTCAACTGTACTATTCATTTGTTCACTGTCATATAAACTATGCAAATATTATATGGGGAAGCACTCAAAAGACAAAACTTAAAACTCTTTTTAATCATCAGAAACACGCAGCTCGCGCAATTAATTTTAAAAATCGTCTTACTCACTCTGCGCCACTTCTTAAAGATATGAAAGCTTTGGATGTTTATCAACTTAATATTTTTAATATTTTATGCTTTATGTTCAAGTGTAAAGAAAATTTATCTCCACAGGTATTTCAATATCTTTATTCTTTAAAACCGAAAAACAAATATAATTTACGAATTGACAACAATCTTAATGCTCCTTTTTGCAAAACTAAATACGACGAGTTTTGTATGTCCTATCGTGGACCTCTTCTTTGGAACAAAATAGTTCTACCTAATTTTGACTTTTCAACCAAACTAAACTACTCCTTATTCAAAACCAAAATTAAAGAAATTATCTTTTCAATTGAAAACATCTTTATCTATTTTTGAGTTTTTATCAATTTATTGCTGATATTTTATACTTTATTGTATTGTGTTTTACTATTTACGAATATTTCCATGAGTTCTTTGCAAACTTATGTATTTAATGGTTTGTATTTTATTACTTTTTATTACTGTGTTTTGTTAAACTTCATATTATCTTTGTTATTTTACGAATCTTTATAACTTTATTATAATATTACGTATTTATATTATATTATACTCGATACTAAAATGCATTGTAAAGGGCTTCATGATAAGATCCTCATGATCTTCTAGAAGTCCTGCCACTAAATTTGTAATATGTTAAAATTTGTATTATTAAAAAAATTATTTGGCAAAAAAAAAAAAAAAAAAAAAAAAAAATT